TGTTGCTAATAGCACAAAGCCACAGGCCTCCATTCCCAAACAGGCAAAGTAGTCATGAGTCTGGATTTATGGTTCTGCCTGCTTGCAGCATAAATTCAGTCCGGCGGGAAGGCCTGCGTACCTTCCCTTGGTCGCTTGTCTATGGCTTATCTCTGTTCCGGATCAGCAGGTGAACACCACTTGTCATAACACTCTTACATTTTCTCACACAGCACTGGCATGCATAAGAAAATGGTGTAACCTTGCTTTTAAAAGGCATCTTTGGTTTGTGAGTATTAAAACAACTTCAACACGCACAATGTCCTGATCTGCTGTGGGGATCGTCACAAACACAGCAATCATCCTTAACTTTCACAGAGGCACTGAGCTTTATAAATATGAGCATGCTAGTGTGGGATAGCCACGCCCAAGGACCCCTGTGTGAACTGTGCAAATTCCTGTTCTCTTATCCCCAGAAATCAGCATTCTTCATGATCAGGCCCATCGTCTTTAAAGAAGCAAACAGGCTGCCATGAGTCAAATGAAAAACAGAGTGGGGAAGACGGGGTCTAAAAAGGGGCATGAAAATAACAGGACAGAAGACAAAAGTAAAGAAAAAGCTTTTCAACATGTTACTACCAACTGAGAAGCTATAGTATGTCAGGTGCAATCATCTTCTAAGGGAGGACGTCCATGCTCCTAAATAGTAGTGGGTGAAAAGATTCCCAGGAACATCTACAGCCTGAAAAGAAGTAACGTAAGGGATAAAGAAAGGGAGAAACGTAGTTGCTTCTTAGAGAAGATGCGTAAATGAAGGTGGCAGCCCCCTGCCTGAAACTTATTCCTCATCCAGGTGCCTGGGAGACTGCCTCTGCCGGCGTTGCAGTTCCTCCACTTGGCGCTCCAAGCTGTGCACTTTAGCTTCCAGCCGTGCACCAGAGCGATTGGACCCACTCAGCCAACCCAGCAAGACATAGAGCGTTAGCAAGGCCAAGAGAAGCCCAACCTGTACCGAACAGTCGGGCACGGTAAACACAATAAATGCAAAGCAGCTTCCAAAGAGAACAAACTTGAGGCCCCACATGATGCGGCTCAAAATCGCGAGCAACAGACTCAACAGCAGCGAGAGCACCCAGTAGCTTATCAGGGCAGCCAGGCTCCAGAGCAGCAGTGTCTGCACTTTGTCAGGGCTCAGCTTCAGAAACTGAGTTAATTCATCTCCTGAAACACAAAAAAAGAAAAAGCAATACATTCAGTCCAGTGTAGCACTACACCAGCCTTTCCCACATGGCACCCCCAGGTGAATTAAGACAGGTTTCAGCCAGGACGGTCTACATCTATGGTAGATTAGGAGGAAGTGTTATCAAATGCAGGAAAGAAACACACCTGCTAGCTGCCTGCTTTGTTTCAAAGAAGAACTACGCTCGCTTACTTAAGTGTAAGCATTACAGCTCAAACAAGCTCCTCCTTTCTTGCCTCATGGTATGGCTTAATTCCAGTATGCACAAAGAAGCTGGTGAGCGCTTTGCCACAATTTACAGGAGCAAATCTTTGTTTGCCTATTAAGCTTTGGGTTGATTCTGAAGATTTTGGCTCATTGTGAACAAGAAGGGTGGGGCATCTATTTGCTCCCCTCTCAGCACTAACACTTAAACACCCAAGAAAATTTCAATCCATGGTATGATTAACCTCATGTCTGAACAAGTCTTAGATTTATAGGGTTAGGGTTCTACCACATATATGGGTGGCATACAGTAAAAATAATTATACAATATACTTTTAAACACTGGAAGATAAACAACCACTAAAAGGCAATCAAACATACAGGACCCACCTCTCACTCTAATCAAAAGCCATGTTTTCAGAGCTCTTCTGAACATGGCCAGGGTGGGAGCCAGATAAATCTTGGGGGGAGCAGTGCTGGAACAGAGAAAGTACACTTCCTAGGTCTCATCAGATGACAGTGCTTAATAGATGGAATCTTCAGCATGCCAACTCTGTCCAATCATACAGGCTGGGCAGAGGTCACCAAAGACAGATGGTCTTTAGATAACTAGACCCTATGCCTTGGAGGGTTTATAGGTAATCACCAGCATCTTGAATTGTATCCTGAAGCCTACTGGCAGCCAGTGCAGCTCAAGGAGGAAAGGCGTTACACAGGCTTGATAAGGTATTCCCATAATTGCCTGTGCTACCGCATTCTGAACCAGCTGCAACTTCCAAATAGTTTCCAAGAGCATCCCCATGTAGATTACATTGCAGTAGTTTGTATGTGAGGTAACCAAATTGTGAGTGACTGTCTGAAGGGACTCCTGGTCCAGGTAAGGACACAATTGGCACACAAGATGGATTTGTGCAAAGGCCTTCTTAGCCACAGTTTCTACTTGCTCCTTGGGCAGGAGCTGTGAGTCCAAGAAGTCCAACTTGCACACCAGTCCCAAAAGAAAATGTGTAATCCCATTCAGATTAAAGATGAAACATTCCCAGCCCTGGGCATTCCAAAAGGCCACAGTAACGCAATCTTGTCAGGGTTGAGTTTAAGCCTACAGTAGCAGTATTGTTCTGTGTTTTACAGCACATATTTGCATTGGAGATAAGATTAAGCTATTGTTAAGATTAGAGTTCCGGATCATAAAAGACTATAGTTAAAGTTAATGGTACAGTAAGTATTACAAAATACCAGTTCATGGCTAGAATTTCCATCTGAGTTTAGAGATCAAGATTTTCCTTGTTTTTGCATGTCTGTTTCCATCTTTAATCTCTTCACAGATTGTTGTAATACTGTTTTTTGTATCTTCTCTCTGAAATGCTTTGTTAAATTTGTTCTGAGATACAGTATTGTCTTTGTTGGCTTTGCCTACTTGTCTCTTCTTGTCAATTTCCACTGTTTTGACATTCAGTTTGGTTTCTTCAGTTTTTTGGTCTTTGGCAGCTTCTTTTCACATTTACCCCTAACAACTTACTTGATTTCATTCCATAGCTTCTCTGGTTCCCTATCAATGAGGTCCAGGACTTCAAAGAGATTCCTGATGTTCTCCTTGAAATTGACGAGTTTATGTTCAAGAACACGTCATAGAAACCAGTGTTCTTCCACTTTAGCTTGACTTGAAACTTGCACACGAGCAGTTCACAATCTGTTTCAGTCAGTCCCTGGCCACGTCTTTGCTGTTATAACTGAACTCTTTCACCTTCTTGTCCCAAAAATATAATCAATTTGATTTCTGTGTGCTGTTCCTTAGTAACATGTTGAATGGCATCCAACCTGAGGAGCCCATCTTCCGACACTATATTATCAATCACTTTATATTGTCTATCCATGTGATTTTCTTGTCAAAATACAGGAGTGATTTATTATTGCCTTCTCCTGTATATTGTAATATGAAATGATGCCTTTGTTGTTGTCACTAAAGTTTCCATAAGCCTCCAGCAACATCCCAATATAGGCGTCTGCTTATTTTTCTTTGGATTTAGAGGCTGCCCAACTGCCAGCTGTCAGTTCAGGACAACCCCCAGATTGTGCAGCAGTCTGGAATGCAAAAGTGCAACCCCATCCAAGGGCAAGGCGACTTGGTCTTGTCAGGATTGAGAGTGAATCTGTTCCTCCCCATCCAGTCCCAGCCTCCAGGCACTTGTTCAGGACACTGATATTGTCCCCTGGACAGCCTGGGCACCTGGCATGACGTTCATGCCTTGGGTGACCCTCCTGGGAGAATATACTCCCGGTATACAGTATAGTCCCAGTGTTTTTCACTCATCCCTCCAAGAAACTTCCTCCCACCACCACAAAGGGGCAGCGTAGCAGTACTTGATGAGGAATACTAAGATTACTGCTAACCATAAAAATACTAACACTAAACCTGGCCTTTATACTAACACTGACTCTAAATGTAACCGTAAACCTCTATTACCCCAAATCCTAAGTTCACCATATGTAAATATACCCTGCAAACTGGGCCTCTGAAAAAGCTCATCTGTAATCTAAATCTAACACTACATCAAAACAGTGCTCTCAGACACTGGCACTAATTTTAACCAAAACCCTTAATGAACTCAAACTCTAACTTGTCCTACATCCAATACAAGTATATTATAAACCTAACCCCATGACAAAATCTCAACTATAACATATATCTAAGGTCTGCTAATACATGAAAATAGGAAGGTTTGTTCTTAACTTCAGACTCTGGCTTATTATGGAGCAACTAAACACGGACCCTAATTCTGATGTAATGCTAAACAAATCATGGATGAAAATTCCTGGGTGTGCTTTGTTATTCCTGAGGAGACGAAGAGCCAAGGAACATCAAATTATGAACAATCATGCTCATTTGTAATAATCCAAAACTCGGGATGTACAAATGTCAGTAAAGTTACCTTTAATTTCATCGATCTGGGTGGAAGTATTGCTTGTGCAATAGACATATCCATATTTAAACATATTCTTAGATACATACATATCTTTGCACTCTCTTAAAAATGCAGTTTGGGAAATAGTCATAAGACTGTACCCTGTGCACCCTGTACTTGGAAGCTGAATCCACTGAACCCAGTAGACCTTTCATATGGGAAAACACCCCATCCCCAAGACTCGGGACAAAGTGCATTTATGCTGAAGGCAAAAAGACACCAATGTAACACTCTGAACCATATAACTGGTCAGCAATATAATGTATCTACCAAAAGAAAAGAATTGATGATGTCAGCAGGGAAGACTGTAGGAAGAGGGAAAAAAAGGCTTTCCTTCTCCCAGCCTAGTAGAAACACAAAAAAAATTGGCAGTTGGAGAGAGGTATGGGATTTAGCAGTGGTGTGGCTGGGCCACCCCAAAAACGGCTTCGGATCTGGGTATACTTAGTAGCAGACTTAAGTGGCTCAACTTTGGTTTATCTCAAATAAGTATCCAGAATCAAACAGCTGGACAGAAGGCTATCAGGAAGATGAATAGTATCTCAAAAGAAGCTCATGAAGAATGACTTCCACCTTGTCGCCAAAAAAACCACATGGGTGGGCCTGATCACCAGGAGTTCAGCTTTACCTCTTTGAAGTGACTAATGAGATAACCTCCTGAATTAATATGAACAACAATATTCATGCTATATTGCTAGTCCAAGATTCAAAAAATAAACTAGGAACCAAACCAGGCTGGCCGTGCTGCAACCAAGCAGGTCTTTTCTTGAGTTCATTACATGTTTATTCAGACTCCTACATGCTGATTCCCACTCAATAGTGATCCAGTTTAGGTAAACATTTAATATCACAATCCTTCCTTTGCTTATTTGGAAGACAATCCCACAAAATTTGAAAGGGTAACTAAGTGAGAATAGGGCTGTGTCCTCTGATACTGTTGCACTGCAGTATGCTTAGCCTCTTCTGTTTACCTGCACCTTTTTTTCCACTATGCCAATAACCTGGTCACTTACCAGCCATTCCAAAGGATGTGAGAAACTGCTCTGCAATTCGAGCCACAACAAGGAAGGCTGAAGAGATTCCAGAGGAAACTAGCCAAAGCAGGGAAGAGATATTCTGCAAGGAGACCAGACACACACAGAATTCTTTCCCTTATTATCAAATATTCTTATCAGCTCTTAAAATACAAGTCAATTTACCATAAAGGATATGGTTTTTCACCTGGGCTACATAGCAGATGGTATGACTGCAGCTCCCTCCAGTGCTGAAACCAGTGGGGACTAAATTGAGTAATGATAATAAGGTGCAGATTTAACTGATGACTAGAACTATAAACCAAATGGAAAACATAAAAGCACTTGCACTTCAAATTGTAAGAGTTAGGAATGATATGTTAAACTAAGAGCTTGCCTGGCTGATATAGTAGCATATTTGAAGATACAGTGACTAAAATTTTCAGTCACTGGACAATGAAATAGAAGTAGTCTGAATTCCTATGGAAACTTTACCAGGATGAGGCTTCTATCCAGGGTAGCATACTTAGAACAAGCATGAACCACCTTCACACGCTTATTTGCACGGCAATACCTTCACCTCCAGTCTCATCTGCCTGCCATGTTTACACAGCATGATTGAATATTCTCCTATCTCTGGATAATTCCCTGGAAAAACTATATCACTGTATGTCTTCCCAAATTGTGTCACTCAATTCATAGATGCCTTTGTTACTTATTTTCCACACATACATACATAAACATAAGGATAGCACTTCTGCCATACCTCATTCAGCATCAGAAAGTTCTCTTTACCAATCAAATTCTCCAGTGTTTTCCTTACAGTGCGAGTCACTTCAGATAAAAAGTCAGGTTCCATACGCTTCTTTTGCCAAGATGAACTTTGGTGGTGTTGGGCACTGGTTACACACATGTGTGTGAGAGAGAGCAATACAATGATGCCCAAGGATGAGGTGAGCATTATCTTGGGGCAATTCCATAAGGTAAGTTTCCTTCCGGTCATCTTTCTGGTTCTTGTCTTCACACCCAGCCTTTCTGCAAGTATAATTCAAAAGAGCACATTCCTTAAGGTAAGATATATTTCTCTTCATGAGAAGAACCTGTCACCCTTTGGATGTTGAACAACAACTTCTAGTTTCATTATCGCTGGCCATGCTAGCTGGGGCTGCTAAAAATCAGCCATGCCTAAAGAATATGGAATCCCTTTCAGGTGCTTATCTCAAATTAAATGCAGTCTTAACCAAGAAATTGCAAGCAATACAAATTATTGTAAGTAATTACTTAATTTATACCCTGCTTTTTTCCTCAAATATATACATAAGGTAATAATGCTTAAAATGAAAAGATCCAGATCTTCATACCCAGACAGTCTTGTAACAGAAGAGGCTTTGGATAGTCAGATCCTACACTGCTTAGGGGTTAAAAGTTAATGCCAACACTTTTAACTGTCTCCAGTAAGCAATCAGCCACTAGCCACAATCATTCAGTATACATATCATAACACTAGGCAGCAACCAAGCTGCAACTTTTTACACTAATTGGAACTTCCAGACACTTTTCAAGATTAGTTCCAGAGAGTGTTTACAATAGCCAATATGGTATAACTAAGGCGTGGATAATGTAAGCTACTACTTCTTGCTTAGAAGATGAAATTGCAGAACTGGTGATAAATGCAAACGCTGATCGTATTGTCGTTTTCTACTGCTCCACAATTACAGCATGTCTCCCCCCCAACCCCCCCCCCCACAGATGCTTGATAGAAAATTAAAAATGGAAAGGATGTGAACGTTTGGTTGTGGTATTCACAATAAATGCCAAGGTCCAGCATGTGCTCAGAAACACCCCACTCTACAACCAATGTCCCCCTACCAAAATCATTGTTTTGCTTCAAGCCTCAGTAGCCAGACCTTCCAGATTCTCCCGGAAATCTCCCAGATCTCCCAAGTCTGAAGTTTGCTTCCAAAAAGCCAAACCTACTGTAGGCAAACTACCTAGAGCATGTTTATTTTAAAAATACCACTCCAAAGCAAGGAGGCAGTTACACGCCAAGTTCATTTTCTTGAGACTCTTGGTGGCTCTGCCACACAGCTTGTCCCCAGGAATGTAAGAAGAAGCATAATCTCAGGATCCGTGTGTATAATCCACGCCATTTCCACCGCCATCCTATTTCCAACCGGTTGAACAAGAACCGAATCTCTCTTTCTAAGTCCATCTCTCGGCTTAACCACTATCTGCGGGATAGCCACAAAATTCTCCGCAACTGCCTTCTCGGGGAGCGCGGGGCAGAAGGTGGTTACCACTATCACGCCAGGTTGTCTGAAAGCGTACAGCTGCTTCCCCGTCCTAAAACTTCAGGTAAGTTGCGTTAATGGAAGATCTCGCGCCGGAGGGAAATGGCAGGCGACCCGCAATTTTGGAACTGGACAACGACCCGGAGAAAAGTTGGGTGGATACTTACTTTGTCCCGAGCTTGAAGAAAAGGAGTGGAACAGCAGCTCCGACTGTAGGCACAGTTGTTTTTTTTTTTACCTCCCTCGGGGGAAATTCAAATACAGCTCCAGCCCCCAAGGCCAGCTACCTTCTGGGAAATGCAGTCCAAGGAGTGTAGGAAGGCTCTTTAAACCCTAACCAGGAGCATGCTCAGAATTTTACTCCTTCAATTGTTTATTTTGGAAGATACAAATATAACATAGGCAATCACTCTTAAGCTTACCTGCGGGAACTCTCCTCCTACGGAATGCCTTTCCTTCAGAAATAAGACCTGCGCCTCCCCTCTTGATACAGAAAGCTTGTGAAAACTTGCCGGCTGGGTGGGTAGCGGGTTCCACGGGTGACCGGAGATCAATAGGTTGTGATTATTGTATCTGGTATACGATGGTTCCTTTCATTACTGTATGAGTATAGTATTTTATTGTGATGACTATATGTTTATAGTCCATGATATAGGAATGATTGAAGTGGCATAAAGCATCTGTAGTAAATAAATAACAGCAACATAAAAAATAAACTAACTCTGCATGCTATAGACTCACAACAATAGAAGATTTTGTTGCTAAAGTGTTCCTAAAGGTAATCATCCCATGGCTGGGATGAAAGTTGAAAGTGATTCCGTGGTCACTCTCCGAATATTATTGTCGCTTTTCCGTGTAAATGTTAAGCTACAGTATTTATGTCGTTTTCTACCTAAGAATTGGGCACGCTGGCGCGCTCCAAACTTTTTGGACTACTACCACAGCCAGGTCTCTGGGCTTTCAGTGCAGCAGTCGGCCTGTCTTTCCTGGGAGGAGGGGAGTTTTTCGTAGAAAACAATGGGGGAATCGAGAATTTGTTGTAAGCAAGGACAACTTGGTCCAGCGTGTTTATTCAGTCTTTCGAAGTTAGCTTAATTTCATGTGAAAAGTATTTTCTTACTGCTGCTTTCCGAGTCTGAACAGATACATTAGATAGGTATGCTAATTTTCTTTTCTTTTCTGTTAAATTCTCCATTGTTTCCATTCCGTTTCAGGAGCTTGGCCGCTAACCGTGAGTGAATCTATTTTTAACTATATTTCCAAATCCACGTTATGTCCAACAAGTGCATGCTGGGAATGGTAGTTTATCGCTCCTCCAGGGTCCTCCGGATCCGGAAGTAGGTTGTCTTCGCCGGACCGTTAGGCCATGCGGCGGGGTTGTGCCTTTGAAGTGCTAGAGGGAGTGGAGGAAATTCCGTTTCCGGCCGGCGTTGGAGGTTCCCGCGCGATCCGTGGCCTGGCGTGTGATAGAGTTTAAAAAAGCTGCACCGGGCTACCGGAAGCGGAATCTTCCTCCTCGGTCTCGTGGCCCGGAAGCAGCCATAAGGATTATACCGAGGAGGTGCGCGCCATGTCCCTCATATGCTCCAGTGAGTGATCTGCTTTCTGCTTCGCTCTCGTTCTTCCTCCCGCCTGCGCGCAGCCACGGCCTCACATGGGGGAGAGGGAGGGCTCGAGAGAGGGGCTCCTCTTTTAGCAGCAGCAGCATTAGTATTTATATGACAATTTCGAATATTGATATCTCTGAGGGGTTGTAATCTTTTTATAATCTTTACAATCAGTAAGATAGTATTACGATCACTGTTGTATACTGCAGGTAGATAGGTATGACCTGAGGGGCTGACACAAAAGAAAGCCTTTTCTCTCCCACTCCAGAAGGCAGGACACCAAATAATGAATTCAAGATTCTGTTTAAATATTAGAAAACAAACCTTCCTCACAGTAGTAACAATTTGACAGGCGAACCTATTACCTACTGAGATAAAGGTGGGCTCCTCTTCACTAAATGCGTTCAAGCAGATACTGAACAGCTTTCTGTCATGGATGCTTTGAACTGGATTCTTGTGTGGACACAGAGGGTTGAATTCCATGGTCTAAATAGTCCCTTCCAATTCTGTGATTCTAAATATGTTTAATAAGCCATGGAATTCGTAATCTGAAGTATGTTTTTCTTCACTTTCAACAAACATTCATTTTTGATTAGCTTTTTTAGTCTCATTTAAACTCTAGCTTTATGAATCTAATACACAGATTTTATTGGAGTAATTTTTAATGGAAACACACTTTGGGGAAAAATATCTTTTTAATAAAAATTTTGGAAGCATAGTATTTGTAGAAGTGTACTTAGCAAGACTGCATTGCTTTAAATATTCTCTTGATCGTATAGTATTCAATAATCCATTCTAGATTTTGAATTTCCATTCAGCTCGTAACTTTAGAATTTTACCATTTTATTATAAAAAGTGTGGTTCTTGGTTTCTGAAGCTACTAGGTGAAAATAAGGGTTATCTTTATGGAGTTCAGATTATTTGTAAATAATGGGGTCTGCTAGAAGCCGCAGCTAAGTTCAGTTATAATGAACTGTACAAATGCCTAGTCCACATAGAATTGGAAGTGGCTATTGAAGCCATCAAGGCTAACCACCTGCTCAGTGCAGGAATGCAAATTAAAGCATCCATAACAAATCACTACCCAGCTCCTGCTAGTACACATCCAGTGAATAAAACAATTATCTCTCTAGGTAATTAGTTCCGCTGTTCATCTGCTCAAGTAGAATCTGCCTTTCTGTAATTTAAGACCATTATTCTGAGTCCTGCATTTTAGAACGATGGGCATCAGATCTTGACCTTCTGTATTAAATCATTTCAGGTACTTGAAAAGTATTATCTTGTCCCATTCAGTCATTTTTTCCCCTCAAAGCTAAACATATCAATTCCTTCAGTTTCCCATAAACATTTCCAGTGCTCTGATTTCCTTGTTGCCCTTCTCTGTACCTGTGCCATTCACTTTGAATTTTTTGTAAGATTTGGGGTCCAGAAATGGACACAATATTAGGTCTGGCTGAATCAGAATGTAATGGAACTAATTTCAAACGACAGTCAAAACAGACTAAACTTGCATTCAGTTTTTTGGCAACTACATGATATTTGCTTGCTCATATTTAGCTTATGATTAACTAAGTTCTGAGGTCTTTTTCACAAATACTGCTGTCAACCAGGTATCCCACATTCTATATCTGTTCATTTTATTTCTTTTTCTTCAGTGAAGAAATTTGCATTTGTCTCTATCACATTTCATCTCTTATTTTCTTTTTTAATTTTTTTCTCTAAATTGTTAAACTGAACGTTTATACATTTTTCTTCCAGTTATATTCTTGGTTTATTTGACTGTATTTATAATTGTATAAATTACAGATTCAGTGATGTGGACATACATTGCATTTTCATCTTAAGGCCTTAAGAAATGCCTGTGAGTCTGATTTGCATAGATAGCATATATTTCCAACAGTAGTTTTTTTAAAATGTTAAATCAACAACTTTACTTATCTTCTTTTTGGACTTGATATTCTAGTTGAATATTAACTCATTGTAACCATCTTGTGAAGGTAAATCTTGTGGAAGGTCCTGCTGTTATTTCTATATATCTTTATACCCAAAGCCAGCTGACATACAACTTGGTTTACAGGATACATTTTTTGGTAAGGGGAAAATCTGTACTGTAGCCTAAAAATAAATCTAGGAGAAGCTGCAGAAATTGAACACATAAAAATTAACTAATATTTTTAAGGTTTTCATAATCATCCCTTTTTAAAGGTTCATTGTCACATTATTGGACATAAAATAGATGTCAGTTTTTTTATTTAGATTCTTTAGCCTGAAATAAATATTAACTATTTGTTTCATTCCCAATCACTAATTTAGTTTAAAACTTCATGTCTTCCATTTAATCTCAAACTTTCCACAAAGGAGGAAATATCTACATAAAGCTCTTAGGATTTCTGGAATATATCAATTATCTAGATCCATTCTGGCCTAATTAAGGGACTTGGTTTTAGTTACCTTCATTCTTTATGTTAAAAACTGGGTTGGGGAGAATGTGTTCATACATATTCTCTTGATGACTTTCAGTACTAGTATCTGTCAGAAGAGCTTTGCTTGGATGGAAGCTGGTTACTATTTTATGATGTGTCTGGATTTGTCTCCTGTTTGGTGCCTTCAGCATAGCTTTATGGCTTTCCTCAGCATCCTGTCTTGCCCTCCATGCTATTTAACATATGCATCAAATTATTGACATCTGGAATTTGAGGAACCAGTGCCACCAATATACTGGTGACACCAAATCCTGTCTCTTCTTTCCAGTGAAATCCAAAGAATCTTGCTATTCATTGAGGTTTAATCAACACAAAACAAAGATGTTCCTGAACAGTCAAACTATAGATTGAGCATTACTCATTCAATCTATGTTAAATAGGATTATGTTGTTCTTGAAGATTCAGGTTTGCAGTTTCCATGTAATCCTGGATTCAGACCTGAATATGGATGTCTAGACTTCAGTAGTAGCCAGAAATGTATTTACATAATTGAAGTTAGTGCACAAACTACACTGTTTTTCAGAGTGTCTTGTTTGATAATAGTAACATATATTTTAATTATATCCCGCCTGCTAGTGTAATGTGCTCAACATTGGACTGCTTTGAACAATGCTTGGGAACTTCAGCTATGCTGCATTGAGATGGATTTCCCTGAGATGGATTTCCAAACATCTGATTCCCTTTTTCTAGCAGCCTTAATGGTCAAGATTCCCATCTCTCAAAGATGTTACTGTAAATGTACTGACCTTGAAACTGTGGATCATATTTTACTGCACTCTGATTTTTGCAAGAATTTTTGGCAGGACACAATCTTACTTGTTTTAAAATTGAGGCCAGAAAGATATATTTTTGAATATGTAAATTTTACTCTCAGATAAAATTTCTAAAATTTCAGTGGTGACAGCCAAATTTTTAACTATGGCTATAAAAACTATGGCTATATTAATAAATTAATAAGATTGAGTTTTTAAACGTTTTATGTAATGCTTATCAATTTATTTTATCTGTTAAACTGTTTTATCTTATGCCAAACTTTTAAATTATATCTGTACTTTGCTATTCATGTGTTTTGGCTATAATAAACATTATTTACTTGTAGTATATTATACACAACAAGTCTTTGTTTAATAGGCATTCAGAAGTCTTTAGGCATGGCTTTCTATAGGTATTTTATTTTGTCTGGTTGAAAGCTTTTTAAAATGTGTGTTCA